GCACCTTGATTTGGATTCAATTTGATTAAGGTTGAGAGATGGCTCAAGAGAGACCTCTCTTTGGTCACTTGGGTCAAGCCAAATGGCTAACCTAAGTGAACCCAAGTCTTGGGTCTCCAAGAGGGGTCTCTTGGATGCCCAAAGGAGTCATCCCTTGGGTTCAATTAGATTTGGAGTGGTTTAGATCCTTGAGTTTGGATGAGAGGGGTGTATAGGCCATTTGGTCAAACTAGTTTGACTTGGTCAACCAAGTTGACCCAAGGCTGGGATTGGGTCAAAAAGGGTTTCAAAAGTCATTTGAAAGCATTAGAGAGAAATCTCCAAAGTTGGTGGTCATAACAAATCAAGTTTAGGCCAAAGGTCCAAAAATTCCCTTGGCATTTTGGTCATTTTGGCCTCGAGTCAATTATGGGTCAAATTGAGTCTAAAAAAAATGCAGACTATTGTTTGACAAATCAATATCAAGGCATTAGAGGTGATCAAAGGGTTTGAGGAAGGCTCAAAGGTCAAATTCCATTAAGTGGAATGTCCAGTGGCATGGGCTGTAAATATTTGAAGGTTTTACAGCCTTTGGATTTGGATTAAGTTTATGGGGTTAGAGTCCCCCAAATGAGCTCAAATTTAGAGGGTTGACATTGGAGACATGTCACATTAATATGCAATTGACATGCCCTAAATCAGATGTCAATTGACTGGGTTTCAAGGTGGTGAAAAAATCACCTAGGAAGGGCTTTATGACTTAAGTCTTTAGCCTAAGGATTCTGGGGTTGGATTGAATTAAGATTCGAATTGAGCCTTAGGGCTAGGAGCTAGGGAGATCCTAGGATTTAGGACTCAGGAAGGAGTTAAGAGTGACCTCATACAAGAATGAGGTCAACGTCCTCACTTTCACAAGTTTAAGATCTCATTATGATGTTTATGGCGGAATCGAGAGAGGTAACTTGGCATATATTCAAAGTTTTACCAATGAGTTCAACATGATTACTTAGCATACGTGTTCAACATGATTTCTTAGCTTATACATGAATACATGCACTTTTATTAATATTTTATTGATTTTAAGATTAAGATATAAATGTAATAAAGACAAAGATAAGATATTACTGATGAATCTTCATGTGTAGATTTTATACGATATGACTGCATAATTGATATCACCTTTTGCATTATTATGAATATCTGATAGTTGTATAGATATTTTTCTTTGATGAATGATGAACCTATTCGCTGATATGATCTTCTTACAAATTTGATAATGTTGCACAAATGATTTTCCTGATTTATTGCCTTACTATTCTAGCATTCATACTAGCAATATTTTCTATGACTTATGATTTCTAGAATCACCATTTTGCATAGATTTTTTATCAAATTGAATGCTACTGTTATGATTGGAACGACTCGATGCATGTTTTTTACATTTGTGATTTAAGTATAGTTGTAGTTTTAGTTTTAAACTAGGTTTTTTAGCTTATTATGTGGATTTAATATATTTAAGGTTGGGGCAAGGATCCAATGCTGTAAGCTTGGTTAGAGTTTGGACTTTCATGATTAATTTCATTTTATTTTTTTCATTTCTCTGAGACAATTCTTAAAAACCTAAAACCTTAAAAAATTATCTCCTCTATTCAAGCCCTATGGTGCCTATTTGTGGCATACCGTAGGTATCCCATGACCATGAAACACATATTAGGTGTCCTAGATCTTCTATTGGACCCACCCAATGTGTTGACGAGTTAGGGTCAACTTATCTAACCCTAAGTTTGGCTTAATTATTCTCTTAAACAAAATCTTTAATCCAAATTAAACCCTAATTCTTTGGCATTATCTCTGAGTTAGGCTACCTCATTTTATGGTCACTTGTGGCCATATTTAATTCAAATTTAAAACAAGTAGATAATGGTCAAACTTGGTTTGACCATATAAACCAAATGAACTAACCTTAGTTTATTGGAACTAAACCCCATTAAAATAACTTTAAACTTATTTAAACTTTATTACATCCTTACTAAGATAATAAGTGAGGTACCCCAGAATACCCAATGCACTTGGGATATCCTAAGAGTGCATCCAATGAAAAAATCCCTAGTTAACCACTATATATAATTCTCACCTTCCTAAGCCCTGTTAAGGAACTCATTCAACTCTTTAAGCTCCTTGAACCCTTTCCTAGTTAGTATGCTTGTTGAAACTAGTTAAGCAAATATTCCCATAAAATTTGATGAGCTCAAAGCATTATAATTCCAAATTACCAATGCATCTATTCTAGGCATTGAAAGTGATCATGGATAAATGTCCCAACCCTATTTAGCAATTCCTAACAACTTAGCTAGCTAGTAATGGCTAGTGATGGCCATAGTTTCAACTTAATTCATTAAGCTTGGCCTATAGAGCATTCCCTACCCTCCCTCCCTTAACTCCCTCTTTATGTGCATGAAGACTAAGCTTTGATGAACTCAATATGATTGTTAATATATAAAACGATTAACAAGGAGGTTATTTAAGGAAACCCTAAATTCACTTTGTCTTACTTCATTGAAGCTCTTTAGCATCATAGCTTTCAATATTCCTTCTTATTCAAGTATGTTCGAAACCAAAGTTTAAAACATTAGCAGTCATTATTATATGTGGTGAAATCATGACTATGATCTAACTAACCTAATAAAATGCTTACTCTCTCTACATAATGCTATGGGATTAAATTTTAATGCATGAATTTGATTATATAGCCAATGAGAGGTGTACTGATGCATTTAGATTCTTCCTTTAGGGTTATTAGAGGAATATGATGATTAGGTTGTTTTTAATAATTTGACCCACATGGATTACACAATCATCCTGCCATTCTAATTAAGGCAATTAGAACTTGAGCAGTATAAAAGACTACCTTCTTAACCTAGGAATTAGAAAAATGTAATAAATTAATCAAATAATCTAACAAAACTTAGGAAATTCATATCTCTATGAATACTTAATCAATTTTATTTGAAATTGGTGAATATAATGGATACTATTATATTTAATTTCAAAAATAATTCATTCCATAAATATAAAATTTAATTAATGAAGAATATTTTTAATGATGTAACTAAATGACCTAAGAAAACTCAGTTGCTCTCAAATTCATATGAAAGATTTATGATGGTTTTTTAGACCTCTCTGAAATTCATCATATGATTTTAATGCCTGATTCAACCAAATCAGAATATATCAGTCAAATAGACCCTAATTGGCCCTAATTTTAGATAATTTATTTATAAGTTAAAAAAATTATATAAATCTAAAACCAAATCTCACACATCTTACTAGCATAGACAGTAAGAATAACTAGATTGAGGAATTAGAACTCCTTTTTTATTTTTCAAACAATAAACTATAATTATTTTAAAGAAATTTTATAAAACTCATTTTAATTCGAATTGACATCAAACTTCTAAAGGATGATTCTTAGATTGCCCATAACATATGGTTTCAATTTCAATAGGTGTGTAGGTTTTTATGTTAAAAAATTATCAATCTCTAATTCTAGGCTAAATAGAGATTCCCTAATTAAAGTATAACAAGAGCACTCATTCCGTTCTCTATCCTCTTTCTCAACTTCTGCTCTAATTTTTCAATTTTCTTATCATAGTGGTGGTTGTTGGTACCTTCCTTTAGCTTCCTTTGCTTCCTACTAGTTTATCTTAAGGGAGAGGGGGTGCATAACACAACCCCCACTCATTGGCTACATTGATCAAGTGGTTGTTTTGCATCACTTCCTCTAATTGCTTAAAATTCTCAGCCTAACCCTCATGGTAAACAATATAAAGTGGAAACTTATTCTCAAGGTTATTTAAGAACAATTTTGGCTAGCAAATTCTTTACCTTTTAGATCATTCAAAGATGTCTTGGCAAATATGTATTTTGTTATTCCTTCTCAACTTGAGTTCCCATTTCCTCTCATTGGGCAATTCTAGCCTCCACTTATTTACTCTATTAAGCATGTGGTTACTTTGCATTAGTTCCAAAAATGGCTTCAACATCTCAAGTTAACCCACGTAAAAAATCATATAAATTGTAATCACTTCCTTAAAGTTATTTTGGAAGAGTTTTGGCTAATGAGCCTTTACCTTCTTGATCATTCAAAGATGTCTTAGATGTTATATACTTTCTTGTCCCTTCCCAACATGAGTTCCCATTTCCTCTTATTGAGGGGCTAAATCAATCATGATATTTGAAGATATGTCAAAATGTCTTGTGGCTCCTTTGGCCTTAATCTTATTCAATAAATTTTAGCTTAAGCATCTTACGATTGAAGCCAAAAGAGCCTTATTCTTTAGTATTCATCTTGTTAGAGAGTTCTATGTGGGTTTGCTGCAGTGACTAAATTTTGACAATGGCTAAAAAAAACCGCAGCAAAAGCTTTATATATTAGCAATGTATTAATAAATTTATATATATGTGAGTTTAAGTACCAAATGCGATCATATTTTCTAAATTTATAGAAATTATAAAGTTCTTGGAAGCAATAAGTGCATGATTAGTAAGTCCTTAAACGATATTTGATTTATCTATTGACGATATTTATACTTTTTCTTGTTATGCTAGCATGTGAAATTAAATTTCGATTTACATTTTATCCTTATAGAATAGGGCTTTTTTCACTAGGCTTTAATTAGGCTTCATGGCTTATTTTATAAGCTTGAAATAGACTAGAAATAATTTGGAGCCAAGTAGACATAGTTTTAAGTTTTGAATATTGTTATCACCCATAAACTAAACCTAGTTTGGAGAAGATTTGTCTTAAGACAGTGAAAGGAACACTAAATTCCATTTTAGGAGACAAGTTTTAGTGGAAATATAATAAGGTAGGAGAATAAAATTTTTGAAAAAGAAACTGAAACTAAAATAAATTTATATATAAAAAAAGAATTTCCTTAAATGCAAATTTGTTTTCCCTTATTGACATGCGAGTGCATATATAAGTTTATTTATTTATCATATCGGTGAACATCATGATACATGCTTCCCTGCTTATTCCATTATTCAAGATAAGAAAACTTACAACATAATACATATACAATTAGCAAGTAAGATTATCTCCTAGAGAGACACCGAATTGGTTGCAATAGTCGTTGTAGATTTCAACACGATCATTCATCGCCGGAGTGTTGCCACCATCACACTCAATGCTATTTATGGCACGTATTGTTGCACCAAAGCCCTGGTTGACAACACTATGGACATTATTCATCCAAAACCAGAGAGCCGTCTTGAAGGAAATGATGTCTTCAAGGGAGACGATCTCAGGAAAGTTGAGACCGTCAAAACCAATATCATCACCAGCACGGCCGTAGTTGTAGTTCCAAGAGATTTGAAGTGGACCGCGACCATAGTACTTCTTACCCGACACGCATGGATATTGCAGGTAGCTCGTGTCACAGTAAGACAATGATTTTTCCTGCTCTTCTATGTAGCAAAAATCTATACAAATTGATTACACACATGCAAGTTACATTACATTAGTAATTTTGTAAGTCATGATACTTGTATTTATAAAATAATCTTTCGAAAAAACAAAGTCATTCAAATTCAGTTATATTATCTTCCAATTCAGGGATTTATATATTTCAAATATTTATATTAAAATTTATATTCTTTTTCAAAAAAAAAAAAATCCTAACAAATTTATGAATATAAATTTTTTTATAAGGGGTCAGATGAGGATGACTCCAATTTCTTATAAAAGTGGTCATAAAGTTGAAAAAACAACTTTTTTGAATGCAGTTGTAGAAAATAGTTTCCCAGCACAAAAATTTATTGAAAGCTTTAAAAAAGCAATGGCCGCATAAATACTTTGGTTACAACTTGAAAAGCAATGCAATAAAAAAGCTGTCCCAAACGAAGTCAAAAAGTCCGTTTAGATCGGCTGTAGCTTTTTATAAAGATAATTGTAAGAAGAAAGCAGCTTTTGTGAATGCTTATGTAGAAAAATAATGATCAAACAAGTAAAAAAATTGTCCCAAACGAAAATAATGCTTACAATTGGTCTCGTGAGTGACGTGGGCAAAGAAAGCAGCGATCTCTCGCTTAGAGTCATCCTCAGTACCTTCCTGACCAAAGCTAGAGTAATCATAAACCGCATAGAGAAATGCCTCTCGGGTGTAAAATTCTTTCCCTTCGCAACTGGAGGCTGCTTGGTCAATAATGCTATCGAAGAACTCCTTTGTCACAACATCCTCCACAGAGACTCTGCCAGATGAAGTCAGTCTATAACAAGACTCTGACTGACAGCCGTCGTCGTAGGAGAGGTCTTCGGTGGCGCGGTAGCCGTACTTGCTGCAACAAAGGTCCTCTGCGCACCCACAGCTCTGCGCATGGGCGAGGGTGGTGGCA